CTGTCCTGACCGAGGTTGAAGCAAGACTTCAAATTGTAAAGAATGTCTTTGACATGTGTATTCAGAATATACATGAAAGCCTTGTCTCTATTGGCCCCGAGTTGTGGGAGTTGTCGCTCACAGTTACACTCAATTAATCTCTTAATTAACCTATTGATTGCCTCGCTTCCACAGTTGCAGTGCTGTACAGCGTTCACAGCTGTCTCTTCATTCAGTAGGTGGTGCAGGTTTCACCGCACTAAAACTTTGCCACAGATTTATTTTGCAATATGCCTAATATAAATAAATAAATAAATTGTCAGGTAGCCTAATACATAATCAGTAGTCTGACAATATTTTTTATTAAAATCTATAGTAAAATGTAAAATACATTTTTCTATATTTTAATTTACAGTTTGGCGAGCAGAAAACAACCTAAAGGCTTTTGTCTCAACTGGATAGGAAACATGTTTTCTGTACGCATGTATTTCCTTACAACTTGAAACTGGTGCGGGGTGATTCTTTTTTTTTAGTGTGAATATTAACAGCTCTTTGAACAAAAGTCTTTCCAAGTCGATTATTCTTGAATGACTATGATAATATTAGCCGCTTAAAATGTGTTGTTCGGTTCTTCGGTCTGCTTTTTTCTCGTGAAACAAAATGTGGACTTTCTGGCTAAATGTGAAGTGACGTAACCCTCCTCCTCCCCCCCGTCCCCCTGAAGCAGTGACAGTAATCCCTGCTCTGGGAGGGAGAGGTAGCTGAGAATAACCAGCATGGGTGCAGAATTTGAAGCTCCCCGAAAAAGATTCAGGCAGATGAAGGAAAAAGAGGCCAGTCTTTTTTTGGGGGGTAATCCCAGCTGTTGGAAACCCTCCGCTCGCCCTCATTTTAATGTCACTCCGTGTTTGGAGTGCTATGGCATGATAGAACTTCAGATAGAATAGTTTGTTTAACACAATACAGTGACTTAATATTTGCAAACACAGCAAAATATTGCTATTATGTTGGGTTGAACCTTTGATGCTGCTCGTTTGCGCTCAGCATTAACGATGCAAAGCCCCCCCCCCCCCCCCCCGTAAGATGTGACTGATGGCGCTCTGACTAACAGCAGGAGGTCCTCGCCTGCAGCGATGTGCCGCTAGTTATTCAGCCGCACAACGATCACGACAGGGCGCTTAATTATTCTTTATGCAGAATCAATATGTTTTCTAGCAGCCAAGGCGAGCTCTGCCGAGGTCAGGCAGGGGGGGGGGGGGCTCCCTCCATTCAATCTCAGGGACGTTATTTTCATGGTTGTCCTCTGGGGCCCGGAGGCCGGCCTACTGTGACAGAATTATTCCGACAGCTGCGGCAGCCCAATCATCACTTTTTTTTTTTTTTTTGTTGAGATTTTTCATATGCAGTAGGAAGATTCTTATTTGTATTTTGTGGAAAAGCCTATAACAGAATTACATGTCCATGTTACGCTGGCTTTGAATGTTCTTTTGCTGACTATGACATCATATTTTAGTTTAGGTATAATTGTGTTAAAGCTTTCCATATTACGAAAGCGCCAGTTCCACAGTTTGCGTGGTCACACGTCCGTACACGCAGGTAATTTCACAGGCTTATCAGCGGGTTTGCCCTCCTCCTCCTCCTCCTCTCTTCCCTCTTTGTCAGCTCCCTGCTGAAGTCGAGTCACCCTGGGAATCTCTCCGGCACGTGACCCGAATCTCAATGAGCTTTAGTTGCCGCTGACCTCTCTGTCCTGCGCTTCCCTTGGCAGCGCGGCGTACGCAAAGACGAGGCATGTGCCGTCAGGGAGTCATGATCGCAGTTTGTGCTTTATTAACAGACTCGTGCAGGCGGTGTGCACATACGTTTTCAACAACCGCACGAGAATATTTCGGTGTGGGAATGTATTTGCCTTTTGCTGTGAGATGTTCTGTGATCTCAGCTCGGCCTTGGGCAGCGTTATCAGTGGTTTTCTTCAAAGGATCTAAAATCACTCCTGGGGATTTTCGTTTTCACTCGTCTTCACTTGGAAAAGTTCCCGAAAAGTCGTAATGAATCTCCCTGAAGAAATGTTTCCAGGCCTCAGAAGTCAGTTCGAGAATATTTTTGTATAGCTTTAAAAATATTTTTAACCGCTGGAGGTAGTTGAATTTGCCAACGTGACCTTTTCACACCTAATTTGCTTATCCTGCTCTTTAAATCAAATTCTCTTTCGTCTTTGTCTTCAACCTCGATTGGAGATGTTGCTGAATGTCACAGCTGAAAACCTCCTGCCGCGAGATGGCGGCTCATTGATCTGTCGAGATACAACTGAACGAGCAGGGGCCTTTGGACCTGCCTTCTAAAGACACAAGGCGATACTAAACCAGTTGATATCGGGTCCAACAATGACCGACTACTTGGCTCGAAAATGATCAACTACTCCTCTATTGTACTCTGCATGTTCAACCATGCAACCCCTTTGTTCTCTCTGTCTTATCTGGAGCCTTAAGGCATTGGCAGTGTGTTCACCACCCACCCAACGCACTCCCCCAGCCAGACTTTGGTGAGCGCTGGCCGGCCCGGCTTATTGCGAGTGAAGTGGACCGTACCAACAACTCCTTGAGGAGAAAAGTGTTTAGGCTACACAAAGCTGCTTTACACCTGACCTTTTTATGATTGTTTTGTGCTGACAGGAGCTTACTAACAAGAGGTGGGATTCAGGGGGGTAAGTGGGCAGGGGAGGGGGGGGGGTGGGGGTGCATCTGTTCTACCCCGAAGTGAAACCCAAGTGGACGTCTGCGTAGACAACGCTGTCATCTTTATTTAGCCTCCCTGTGTCAGTCGGAGCATGCGGAGGTCGATGGCGTGTTAGTGTTCGTACACATGTAGTGCAGTAGTAGCATCCCTTGAGCTACTTTGGTCAGACCTAACCAACCTCGACAGACGGCCCCCGGCCAGGGGCCGAGGCCGCTGAATCGGGGGGTGCAACGTCTCACTCGGGAATCGGCTGCGTCCGAGTAAACTAGCTACGGTGCTTTAATAGATGGAGGTAATAAAAAGGGGTATTGGAGACATTTTCGTGGCATTGCGGATGATGAAAGAAATGTCATCCGCTGAGCATGACCAGAGAGGTGAGAGACTCTTTAAGACTCTAACCTTTCTGGTGGGGGGAACCCTGCATTACATATGTAGGGAGAGAGAGGAGGGATTTATTAAATCAATCGTCTAGGCTCTGCATGACCGTTGCGTAGCATGCTAACACGAGACTACTGAATGCTACACGTTAGCGTGTTGACATTTGAGCGCATTTTGAGCTGGTTCGCCTGCAGACGTTCGCTTTTCACACAGGCGCTCACACATCCGCCAACCGGGCTTTGGACCCTTTGCATTGTCACATGTGGCAGCCGTTCCCAGCTGTCAATAACATGGACTACTATGTGATATCTAATTTGTTAATAGTTTACGGCTACATAGATGCCACTATGCATGAATAGTAAAATGAGCTTCAGTTTCCGGCTCCTGGTACAGCAGGCGGTGTCATGATTTACTGAGACACTTGTGCTTTTCTTTCTATCACAAGTCAAACCATCTGCTTTTGTGTCTTTTGCTATTTTTACGATTTTTTAGTCCAGCAGGACTATAACTCCAGTGTTCAACAGCTGCATTTAATCAAGCCCTCCCCGGCTCCAATCAGCCTGCGCCTCACCCACCTCTGCTCGGCTCGTGGTCATTCTACGCTGTCTGCTGACTTATAATGCTGGAAATGAGAGTGTCCCAGTGAGAAACACTCTTCAGCCTTCACTGCGTTCAGCTCAGTTTCTTCTGCTGGTCTTGTTCCTGCAGTCTTCAACGAGCACATTTGTCAAGATCTGTGCAGAAAACCGAATTGAATCCGGCGTGTGTGCGTGCGTGTGTGTGGCGGGAGGGTTTTGGCTGACGGCCTCTTTTCCTCCAGCCTTATCGTGGCTTCCCTCATCAGCGGCATCACCATATGGGAACAGCGTGTTCGTGGTGTTGGGATTGCCCTCTGCACTGCATGGGGCAGCCTGGAGAGGGAGAGAGTGGTGACGGGGGGGGGCATGTTTGAGGAAGATTACGGATTCAGTTGGCGAAGTGTAAACCCTCTCACTAAGCTTGTAGAGCTTTACTTTCTTTTTTCCCAAAGCATTCTTAAGAACTCAGTGTCATTTGCCTTTTGAAATACTACACAGATTTACACACAGGCAACTCACTTTACTGTCGGATGAAGAGAGGATTCCAACGCTGTTCTGCTTTATGAAGGACACTCTTATTTTGTCCAAAGAAGTAGAGGAGAAACCGCTTGAAACACACACTCGACAGCAGCTGTGGATATTCAAGCCAGGGGAACTGCTACCATAAACACATTCAGTAGCTGGGATTCACTGCACACTGGTGCAAACCAGTCACGAGGAAGCGGCCATGCAGAAATACCCTTGTTGGAGGACAGAGCTCTGTGTCTCCTCGGACCGCCTGCGACACAAGACGATGTTTTAGTGGAAATTCCTGACATTTATTTGACCTTCCTTGGCAACCTGCTGGCTCAAGCGTTGTGGTGGCTTTCTGAGGTTCTGGTGTTATCCCATTACAAGCATTTGTCAGAAAGTGGGCGTCTAAGTCAGAATGTACTGCATGTCGGGTGTAGGAGGCCAGAGAGGCTCAGGGAGAACCTTTTATCTCGTCCTAATACTGTATTTGCCGGAAAGGCTGCTGGTCCATCATCGATGAGCGCAATGACACGGAAAACACCGATCAAAGGATCCAACCCTCTCCAGCTGCAGCTTTTTGTCGCCTGCTGCGTTGTTTAATTCCAGGATGGAGGAAAGCCATCATCTATTTCAGTGACCATTTCATTCCACAGGCTTTGACAGTTTGTATCTCACAACTCCTTTGTGTCAAATTGTTATCACTGGGCTTTCCTGAAGTCTGGTTTCCCTCGTTTAAATCAGAGTATCAAACTTCACTTGTCACTGGAGTTGCTGAGAACACAAGTTTAACGTATCTTCTTACTTTCTGTTCCACAGCAAAAAGCCTCAGGCAAGGTGCTTTTAGACATGGTGTGCTCCCACATGAACCTCGTCGAAGGTGACTACTTCGGCTTGGAGTTTCAGAACCGTCAAAAGATGATGGTGAGTAAGGATGGATATGGAGGTAATACATCAGAACTGTCACCGCTCATAACCAGCTACTTAGTCATCTTTTTTCCCCACACAGGTTTGGTTGGACCACGTGAAGCCCATTATGAAGCAGCTCCGACGTAAGCGTTTCCAAATGGTTTATTTTTTGCAAGGCACACATTTCTTCTTCGTTTTTATCTGTAGAAAATAGCCGTTAAATCAGTTCATCAGAGCAACAATGCAGATCAATGTGAACCCGTTTTGTATTTTATGCAACTGAGCAAAGTCCACTGGGAGGCCTACATTCAGTGGTCGGGTTCTAACTACACCTCGCTAAATAAATTGCCATCTATTGCAACAGTTATGGATCCCACCTCCCTGGAGGTTATTATGTGCCGTTTTTGTTTAGTCTTCTTTTAGAAAGATGTTGATTCAATTTCATGTTGATTTTGGTGGACTGCATTTCTTTTGTCCAGGTGCAATAAACTGGCAACTAAATGTATTTTGTATTACTGCAAAACTCCTCATTGCTACACAGGACCGAAGCAGACGATCCTTACGTTTGCTGTGAAGTTCTTTCCTCCGGACCATGCTCAGCTACTGGAGGAGCTAACTAGGTGAGCTTTTCTCATCATTTTTTATATCCATGTGTGTTTAATCCTGGAGTGGCCTTTCAAATGTGTCTTTATTTACATTTCATTGATGTGAAAAACTTCAGTTGGGACTGGAAGTGATCGTAGAAACATAACTGAGGATTTCCCTCAGTTACTTTGCAGATGATTTGTGCCTCCCTCGGCTTTGTATTCTGTCATGACTGCCGTGTTTCTAGTTTAAGCCCTCTGGAGAACAGCGTGGAGCTGATGATTTTCTGGTTTCTGTTCCGTCGGCATGGAGCCGACTTGTGACTTGTGTGTTTTCAGTTAGAGTTGATAAATAATGGGCATAGAGACAGTAATGCCCCTCTGACAGACCTACTTAGTGTTAAGCTTGGTTAAAACCTTAAGATAATCATGCTTCAAATGTTTTTTCCTGCTGAAGCAGACACTCCTCCAGCATGTGTTCAGGGAGCAGCACTATGGATTTGCAATCCCAGTTTCGCCATGTCCACTGATAACATATTCGTTATCCGTGGACCTTGGGTTTTTGGGTGGGCAATGATTATTTTCTATTTCAAACTAATACCCAATTACTGACTTATTATTTAACCTCATTGGTACACCTTTCTATTAAGACCATATTGCTCTGGTTTGCATGCAAGACGAGCAGCACTGTAACTAAGTCAGCAAATATAGACTTATAATAATATAGATTAATTAGTGTGAACCTGAAATGTGCACCATTGTGTGAATTGAAAAGAACCAGTGTAGATTAAATCTGAAATTTAATTCCGTTAAAGCAACTACGCTGGACGTCCTGTTAGAATTCTTCGGTGCACGGCGTTTTAATTAAACTTAGTAAAATGAAATGACTTTCATTTGATCTGTCTGCAGCACTGGAAGCAACCAACACTCCTCTATTGAATCTGTGAACACTTCTTGTTTTTTGGATCCAGGTATCTGTTTGCACTCCAGATCAAACAGGATGTTTCCTGTGGACGTCTGACCTGCAATGACACCAGTGCAGCACTGATGGTCTCCCATATTATCCAGTGTAAGTTTCTCATGGCTGCGTCCTCATTTTGCTCGACAGAGGCCGCACTATGCTGATTTTCTTTTCCCCACCCAAAGCTTATCATCAAACATTGTCACACAGCACACTGCACCATCACAAATTAATTATCTCTGTGTTGCTATGGATACCTTTTAATACTCTTGCAGGACTACTTTAGAACATTTACAAATTGCACAAAGATTAAGGTATCTGCTCTGCACAGTTGTGAATCAAAACAACCGGGTCGTTTTTTCATGGTCTGCCCTGATCAGAATGAACAAGCCATTCAGATTTAGCTCCGCATAAAATGCTCCCTGCCAGCTCATTAGAATATACTCCCCATGACCCGAGACCTGCAGAACCTTTTACAAAGGAGCGTCATATTTCTCCAAGCCAATATGAGCAGGGACAGAAGTACATTGAGGAAGACAGTATGAGAACATGATTTGTTTTGAGCTGCTGAAGCATGTAAATGTCTAAACCTGAAAATGAGCATGATATGTCACCTTTAATGTTGTTTTTATATTAATTTGGCACAGATCATTATTTTGCAGCAGGTATTTTGACAATGAAATGAACTTTTTTTTTTTTCTTCAGCTGAGATTGGTGATTTTGAGGAGAGTCAGTGCCGGTCACACCTCCTCAACAACAATTACATCCCGGATCAAATACCCCTCATTGACAAGATCATGGAGTTTCACTCCAAAATCATGTGAGTTTCTGCAACTCGACTTGTGTGAAATGTGCGCACATCTTTAAATGGAGCATTTATGCGATCCAGTTATTTATTATTGAAAACATCACTGAAATCACGGCTGAACAATATTTATTCTCTTCACCCATGAACAGGATCAGTTATTTCAGAAATTGTGGGTTCCCCACTGGGATGTTTTCTTATACGGTTAACACGTTTAGGAAAATGCTGCAAGCTGCTAGAAAAGATCTTCAAGCAGCTGTTTTGAGCTGGGTTAGAAAGGTAAAAACACAGACTTTCTAGGGCCTACTCTCACGTTTGTGTGAGCTGAGATATCAGCCTCAGGTGTAAAAGCCATATGCTGCTGTGTGTATATCATTGGCAGCTCTGAAAATCTCCTCCCACCACCCTCCCTTCAATAATGTCTTCATCCGTGCACCGATTTGAATGTGAGCTCCTTGTCTCACATGCATGTTACAGTGGGCCGTGCAGGAGGAACAGAAAGGAGCTCCAATTAGACTTGACTGCTCTCTTTCACTTTCTTTCCAACAGTCTTTTTATACTTTATAAGAGTAACTGCAGTTGTTTTGGCAGGGTGCCTTGCAGAGTTAAATCTCTTGTTAAGTACCACACAGGAAACAGGAAAAGATTTAGCAAGTAAGATTAGTTCTTTTAATTTAGTTGTCTCACCCTCCTTAGTATAGTCCCATTTCAAAATACACTGAGTACAGTACTGATGCATATGTTTACGAATGCTGGGTCTTTTTTATTCTATATTTTTCTTGCATTCGTATACCTATGTGTATATTTCTCTAAATAGCTATCTAAACCAGTAATAAGCTAAGACTCAATACTCTCTGCTCATTCTACCGCTCTCAATTCCCAGTTGGACATGAATAAAAATAAAAGTTTGTTTACCACAAATGTGACGGAAACGTAATTAAATGGTGCATTTGTCTAGGATAGTTTTCAGCTTGGGTTTACTGAATAAGTGGTGCTCAAGGGAGCATTTCCAACAACAGCCTGGTGCGTATAGAATTAATTAAAAATAAACTGCCGTACCCACGTTCATCTAATGAACACACCCGTGCAGCAGTGGCTTATTTAGTTTTTTGACCCAAATGGGTGCATTTTCATCAGTCTTTGTCTCTACAAAAGCTCTTAGTAGTGAACAACAGTGTTTGTTGATTTGAATTTATTCATTTTTTTCATTATTTGAAGAAGGGAAAACATAACATTTTGCCAGCATGGTTCTTTAACGTTGAAATGTTGTATCTTGTGTTGCTAGAGGTCAATCACCAGCAGAATCGGACTATCAGTTACTAGAAGTGGCTCGCAGGTTGGAGATGTATGGGATTCGCCTCCACCCTGCCAAGGATCGCGAGGGCACGAGGCTAAGCCTGGCCGTGGGGCACACCGGTGTCCTGGTCCTTCAGGTGAGTCACACGGGTTCGTAGGTCAACGCGTAGCGTGTTCAGGATGGTTGGTGTAACAACTTGTCTACATGGTACTGACGTAAAGGTTTTTTTTCATCCCTCCAGGGGCATTCAAAGATCAACGCCTTCAACTGGTCAAAAGTGCGTAAACTGAGCTTCAAAAGGAAACGTTTCCTCATCAAGCTGAGGCCAGATCCAAATGTAAGTGAATTGCAGTGTGTGATGTACAAAAACCCACCAGTGTCTGGTGGTGTGAGTAACGTTCCTACGTGTACCCCAGAGTTCACCTCAGGGCACTCTGGAGTTTCTGATGGGCAGCAGGGACTGCTGCAAAGTCTTCTGGAAGATCTGCGTCGAATACCACGCCTTCTTCCGCCTCTTTGAGGAACCCAAGCCTAAGCCCAAGCCTGTGCTCTTCACACGCGGCTCGTCCTTCAGATTCAGGTTGGTTTGCATCATAAAGCTCCTCTTTGCGTCGTCGTCGCTCCACATCCTACCACGGCTCTCCGCGAATGATCGCCTCCTCTCCGCTGTTCTCCACAGCGGTCGCACACAGAAGCAGGTGATCGATTACGTGAGGGAGTCTGAGTTTAAAAAGATCCCGTTTGAAAGGTAAAGGCTGTGACATTTTTAACACATTTGGTCTAGTCCAGGGGTGCTCAGAGATTTTAACGTTGACCTTCGACCTCCCGTCTGCCAGAAAACACAGCCGGGTCCAACACAACGTCCGCCTGTCGCCGCTGCCTTGTCCGCGCCCGCAGGACGTGCCAACAGAAGTGAGTGACTAAGTGACTTTACGTGCATTTGCGGCAGACCGTTGTCCGGGTAGTTTGTCATATTAAGGATCTCATTATGGTCATAAAAAAAAACCCAATGGCACTGAACGGCATTAGACATCGTCTCTCCTTGACACACACAGAAGCTAGAGGTTGCACATTAGGGAAGCTGTATTCTGTGGGAAATAATCCTACATGTGGCCAAACACTTTCCAGGCTGATTTAAAGTCGGATAGAATTTGTTGTAAACAGCATTACTATTCACAATCAAATTAAACACAGTGATTAATTAATGAGACTATCTGTCTCTTTCTTTCAGGGTGAGTCTCCCGAGGACGGAGCGGACTCTCCTCCTCGCCGTCATTGGAAGGAGTCTGTGTTGGTGAGTGCAGAAGACACCTCTGCCTCGAGGACGACCAGTCCGTCTCACCAGAGGAACGGCCGCGAGGACAGAGCGGGGCCCGTGTCTATGGCCGAGGAGACGAGAGGCTCGACGCCGCCGACCCACCCGGAACGTCAGAGTACAGGTCCAGCATTTCAGGCTGCTGCTAAAGGCAGCTGCTCTTCCGCCCCTTTCACTGACCGCGGTGCTGTTTGTAGTGAATATAACCAGACCATGAGGTTGAATCATAGGGAGAAGCCCGCGCTGCGCTGTGGGTCCGGCTCAAGGAGCACAAACGGGCCTGTGCAGGAGCCGCTCCTTGGTAAGGTACTGCACAGGGAGTCCCCTTCCTCCTCTAAGCAACTGCTCCACATGAGCCTTGAGCTGGACGAGTCCCTCAAGCAGTCGTACCAGAAGATGGAGCAGGCTCCTTTCCGCAGTGCCGTGGCGGACCTCGGTGCCCAGTACAGAGAGAGGCATGGCGTCAGCCCTCTCGCGGCGTCGCGCGCGGGTTCGAGGAGTGGGGTCCCCGGTCCTGCCGAGGACAATCATCAACCGATCTGCCTCAGTTACGCCGAGCGGAACGGCTTCGGCTCCCTCCCCCCTCGCTTCGAGGACGGCAGGTGCTCGCCGGCCCCGAGCCGCTCCCCTCGATTACAAAAGCTGAGTCAGCACTTTGAGACGGACCCGTCCCCCGGGCAAGGATCGCTTCCCGTCCTTTCTCGGGCCGAACGCGTGGCCGCTCTCGAGCGCCGCATGGCTGCTAATGGTTTGTCGGTGGCGGGCGTCCGGTCCAAGGCCGGCTCGGGGCTGAAACGCTTCGGGCAGCCTGGTGTCACGCACGTGGGCCCGGTTCAAATGAACGACTGCTCCACCACCAGTGGTTCAGAGTCCAGTGAGTCTGAGGTGGAAGCTGGCGGCAGCCCTCTGATGGTCGGTAGTGCAGCGGAGGGCAACTCCACCTCCCTTATTCCCGTGAACAGGTTTTCCTTTGACAGCCTGCAGCTAGATGAGGAGGCGGAGGAGGAGGACGGATGCTGTGCCTTCAGCGATGAGGAGGGGGCACAGATTTTCAGCTGCTAGTGCACGGACAGCTTCCGACCGTCTCCAAAGGAGAGTTTAGAGGTTTTTAGTTTGGTCATGGTGGTGTGGGGGAAAGCAGGGTTTGGTGGATGATGGATTATTTCTGTCAGAGGAATACTCAAATCTCCACGGAAAGCACCTACCTAGTATCAGACTCTTTTTTTCATTGCGAGTCGCTTCCCTTTGCGAGATTTCAAGCAGGAGGAACATGTTTCGGGTTTTCTCGTTCGGCACACTGAGCAGGTTCACACACCGCCCAGTTCTTTTACTGTATTCGCACGTCCATTCATAAAAACACAAGTGCCATGTTACTAAATGCTGCAGAGACTTCAAGGAATTATTGGCTAATTTCCTGTCCGTTGTACAGTTGCACTTTACATATATTTTGCATTTAGAACAAGGTCTAGTTGTTCCTGGGTCTCAGATGCCTTATGACTTCCCGGATCAGTTTTTATTATCTGCAGACATTTCTGTTATTTATTAGATAGATATGTTTTCTACATTATAGACTTTGCAGTGTTGTGGTACACATTCATTGGTACTCTTGGTCTGACATAAGAGTAGTACATTCTGAATGTAGTTTCTGAATTCAGACCAATTAATACACCAGCACGAACACCTGGTTGACATTCAATAACGTTTATGTTCACACTGCCTTCTTCTCTTTAAAACTTGAAATAGAAACGTCTCGTGTTCTCACATAGCCGGCAGGAAATAAAACCGGAGTAAAGACAAGCTCACAGCGCCTCTTTTGAATATCCTTCTAATCGTGTTAGAAAAGCAGCAGTTTTGGCCGCAGACATCTTTCAGCCACTCCACAACAGTTTATGGCTCTTGTGCTCACCATCGACGTCCCCCTAATTCTCGAGTGTCACTCACTCTCGGTGAGTTGGTATCAAGCTCAGCCCTCCAACCAAATCTACTCTAGTTTCCAAATATGGCAAATCACCAGTGCACTTTTATCTGTTGATCACCTTTCTGGATTTCTTTTGCTTTTCTGCCCTCGTGTTTATTTGTGCTTTCAATGCTACTTATGTCACATTTCTGTTCTTTCTTTCTTTGTCCAATGCAACCACCTGTCTGTCTGCATGAAACTGTCAAATTCTTTTCTGTTTTGTTTCCTACAGCTGCATGTGAACCTGTTTTGTTACTCACTCCACATCTGTTTAGTGAAGAGAGGCGACTTTACTAATATCTGGGTTGCCTTCTTTGCAACGATCCAGCTCATGGATAATTATTGCAGAGCAGGTTGAGGATGACACCACCGTTTAGAATAATTGGGAGCAGGTTTCTCTGAATTGTGTACGTGTGAAAGGCAGTTAAGGTTCAACAGTCTCCTGAGTCGTCCATCACTGTCGACCGCTTTTGCTTTTGTGCTCTAAAACCTTTTTAGCATTGACGTCCTGCAGCGTAATGAGATTCTGCGGGTTTATTTGGATCTATAGATCCCCTTTCTTTATTAGCCATTGAAGTTACAGATGTTTTTTGGGTGGGATTTCATCGTTATCTCATATTTCATCACTATCATTGTTAATGTTTTTTATTCTACATGGAAATGACAACAATAAGACTCAATCGGTATCGCCTGTGTCTTACCCGATAGAATTTATTTATGTAGCATTAAATCATAACAGAAGTTAGACCATGTTCTACCGCTGTCTTTCTCACCGTGTTTCCCGTCCCTCTCCATCATAGCTCCAATAAAAAAGATTACAAGTAACCCAAACGTTTTTGCTGGCATGTTCATGTAGGAATTACGTTTTGTTAGATTTTCTTAAATTTACCGCTAACCATATTAACAGTTGCTTGAAATAGATGGATAGTCGTGTTAAAGCAGATTTTAGGAATTCATTTGATGACTAGAAATTCATGCAGTATATTGCTGGATTCTAAAACTGCTTGTTGATATACAGTTATTGAACAGATCAGTTTTGCTATTTTGAGTAAATTAATAGTCCTAGTAATAGTATTTGTGGACTTAGGAATGGACATTTCATTACCAACTCTTTCAGGACAGCAATAACAAAATCATGAAATGTCCCAGCCTGTTTATTTTATAATTTATAAAGATCTGTTTCATATGTTCGGTAACGTCTTGAGGACTGTGGCTTTGACCTCATATTGCTGCTTTCCTCCTAATTTATATCAACTTAATTTGTATATATGTTCTTCTAGAGTCAATAAAAATTACCTTTATGACACAAGGTTTATCCTGAATCTTCTTTTTAAAAACCCCAGTGAGTCGCCGTCTGGTGCTTAGATTTCCTTTTCACCCTCCCTGTAGTTTTATAGTGTTGGCAGATGTATATCTGGCTTTTTCTTTTTTTTTCGGCTCTCGCTTGCAGCAATCTTGTAGACGCGCACTGTGGTTTCCACTCAGCTAGCATCCTTAGAGGTCATAGTTAATCCTTTCCCGGGTCGCGCTGGTCCGTTGAGCTGGTTCGTGTGAGTGTAATCGCTGCTGTGTTTGTGTCGTGACACCAGAGGACAGCAAAGGAAGGTGGGCAAGCTGAAGAATAGTAAGTAAGCTCGGTGAATAGTGTCGGTATTGAATGACCCCAAATGAGCTGCTCCTGTTGATCACCCTTTAATACGTGTCTCAGCCTGTGTATTGATTGATGCTGCAGGAAGATGGAGATGTCTGGACTTTAGAGCTCAAGGGCAGTTTTTTTTTTAAGACCCTCTTTTGGGGACAAACCTTTTTGGACATACTTCAGTCAGTTTGGGTTTGCCTGCATAATATCACGAGGGGTTTGCCATATTGGACTATAAACTGAATTCTAGAAAGTAATTTAATACTTTGGAATTTGACTTTTTTAATTTGTTGATTTAATCATTTTGAAAAGTCCATGTTTCTTCTTTTATGTTTAGCCCATTTTATGTTTTGATCCCAAAAAAGGTATTGACATGTTTATCTATTATCTATATATATATATATATATATATATATATATATATATATATATATATATATATATATATAAAATCTCAGAGAGCCAAACTACACTCATCTTTTGAAGAAGGAATTTCCTGTTGTCTATTTGAATGACTTGACTAATTATGTTCTTCCCTCCCATTGGCTGCTGACCCTCGTACAGAAGTGGCGCCCAACAGCCCTCACCCGTCTGCGTCCTCTGGCCACTCGCTCGGCATGGTCAACGGTCAGAGGTCACTGGAGCCGTGCGGTCACAGTCCCGACGGCCGACCGCCTTCCCCCCTGACCAGCCCGCTGCTGAACCACGCCGGCAGCGTTCGCACCGACGAAGAGGACGAGGTTCGAAGGAAGGTTGGTTATTTTTGATTACTATTTTTCTTCTAAGCTGCTACGAAGCCGGTGGCGTATACTCAATATAGCACTGGAGCCGGGTTCCCTATCCTACATTACAACACGCAGGGAATGAAGCGGTGTTGGTCTAACGCTAACAAATGGGTTAATTAGGCGATACGCTCGCTAAACTTGTTCAAGTTGGATAGTTAATTTGAGCTAATTCTCACGGTCTCCTCCCTGTCGTTATGTCAGAGGTTCCCAACGGACCGGGCCTACTTTATCGCCAAGGAGCTGTTGACCACAGAAAGGACGTATCTGAAGGACCTGGAGGTGGTGACTGTGGTAAGAGGGAAAAAAAAAAACGTCATTTGCCAAAATACTGCTCTTTCTTTCCCCCTGCGTTGTCCTCTGGGGGAGAAAACATTGATTATTGCGGTTATCCGCTCCACTGCGGAGCGCCCGCCTAAACGCAGACACGGACATCGACACCGGAATATTTTGGCAGACGCAATTTCATTTTTTATTCATTCCACACACCCGTGCTTTCGAATTCCATTCATCTCCCTCACTCAAGGCTCTGAATACTAAACAGAGTTTGGTGTTTAAAGAGATTCAAGCGCATGTTCCCTCTGCGTGTGACTCCCCATTTCAGTCTCTTCCTTCCAATGACTCTGGCCCGGTGCGTGTGCGCCGTCAGTTGGTAGTTTGTCGAAGGAAATTCAGCGGAAAACAGGATATTAAACGTGCGGCTCCTTTGACAGGGAACAAAGAGGATATTCTTCTCTCATTGAGCTCAGGAGAGAGTGCATCTCTCTCTCTTTTCCCCCGTCATGTGATTTTCAGAGAAGCCTTCCGCACATCTCGTAAATATTTGGGTTGGCTCGTGTGCTCGTTCTTTTTACAGATGTTCGTGCTCGCTCCCTCTTCCCACGCTACGGTTGGTACTGTGGTTTGGGGTGAAGGCATCTAAACAACAGCTGGCCGTTCTTCTCCAGCACGTCTAGAAGCACTCGGGCTTCCCCTAAAACCCACTTTCCTTTCCCATCACGCCGGTCCAATGACGCTGTTTTCTGGGTGCCCCCTCCCTTATTAGGGATAATCATCGCAGTGCTCATACATGATCTGACAGATCATGATGATTTTTATACCATCGTAGTGAGCTCTGTTACATGGGGTCTTTATCTGAACCAGAAAATGAACACTCAAAAAAGTGTTACTTCACATAAAGTTTGGCCTTGACTAGTGTGATGTGGCCTTTTGAAAACTTGAAAATTAAAGTGCACACACTGTGAAAATTGGGATGAAGTATCTTAGCACTAGAATTTTTAAATGACATATTTTATTCTGCATCTTTAGGTATAATTATTATTAGGTATAATTCCTCCCTTCAAGATTATCTTTTCTTTTTTACTATGCGTTTTCTTAGTCTAAATGAGATCTTTTACAGGAAAATGCATGTGGATGTCCAATAGGTTTTCGTGTGAAGCAGTAAAACCCTCACTGTGTGCGACGTCTCTTCTTCCTACATCCAGCAGTGTCATTTGACATTTTTACACTATTCGAGCCGTACTATCCTCCGATGCAATGCATAAGTCAGAGGCCGCATTGGCCTTGACGGAGGATGTTTTCCCTTTATGTACACCATATCTTTATACCCCTACATGTGATTTTTAGTCTTTCCAGAGTGCTGTAGGACAGGATGAGGCAACTCCAGATTCTCTGATGAAAAACATCCTCTGCACCTTCGAGCCTCTGCACAAGTTCCACAAAGGTTTTCTGCGAGAGGTGGAGCAGCGGCTGTCTCTGTGGTGAGACCATTTCATTTCGCATACGTCACTGGTTCTGAACATGTCCAGTGAGTTGGTGGTTTGGTTGTAACCCAATTCATTTCAATTTCCCCTTTTTATATTAATGAGATTTATTGGCCTTTAGTCTGAGAGTCCTTTTAGATGACCTCCGGGTCTATCGTCTCCATGGCAACAGTCGTGCTGCACCGAGGGTTTTTTTCTTGCCTCTGGGCTGTTTCTGTCTGATCTCCTTAATTATGTTGGGCTTTATTTAATGCAGACACACAGATATGCAGGCTGCAGTGATGCATGAAGGCCGCATGTCAGGACGTATGTCCATTACCTGCAGACATGAATCTGTTTCATCTCAAAGGCGATTTTGGCTACACATTGTTAGAACTCAAAGTAAAAGCTGAAAGGGAGAAGAATCACATTCAAATATTGACGCAAATGATGAAGTAATGCATGTGAAATTTTTACAGGAGCTTTGCATACTCAAATCCTCTGGCTGAGATGTACCTTTGGTTGTTGTGAGCATGAATGGAATGCTGTCTGTCAAACATTAGGAAGTATAGATATGTGTTTTATAGACAGTATAGATATCTTTTAAAGTTACCGCGAAATTACTGCACAAAAACAATTCATATTTTAAGTGGATCGGTTGATGGCGACCCATGAACGGCTTTACTTTGTGCAGAAGACGTAATGCTGAAGGGCGACACCTGCTGGTGGAGATTTTTCAGCAAAGTTTAAAAAGCCTTTTCTAAGAATTTGTCTTGCATAAAATACAGCTCTTCTAAATAGCCAATTAGTATTAAGTGATTTTGTGTAGGGGGTAATTCATACTAAGAGATAAAAAAAATCTAATATATAAAATCTAATTCCTCATGTGTATTTGTTTTAGGGAAGGACGCTCCAATGCTCACATAAAAGGAGACTACCAGCGCATTGGAGATGTCATGCTGAAGAACCTGCAAGGCTTAAAGGTCAGGCGCCACTCTTGCACATCTGCTGCCACAGTAATTAATTAATACTTACTAATTAAACCTTAATCCATAGCCCCTGACGGCAAACCTGCATAAACAATCTGAAGTCCTGTTGGAGCTGGAGAAGGCGTGCAGGGCGTCCCGCAGGTTGGAGGGTCTCTGCAGGGACTTTGAGCTGCAAAAGGTCTGCTACGTCCCGCTCAATGTCTTCATTCTGCGGCCTCTGCACCGCCTCAGCCATTACAAGCAGCTCCTGGAGCGCCTGTGCAAACATTACCCAGCTACTCATGTGGATTTCAGGGACTGCAGAGGTACTACTTTTTACTCTTTTTAGGTCGAGTGCTGCAGAATAATCTCAACAGTCTATCTCTAATGATCTCTTGACTCCTGCTGGTTGTTCTACAGCTGCTCTGGCAGATGTGTCCGAGGTGGTGGAGCAGCTCCAGGGAAGCCTCATCAAGATGGAGAACTTCCAGAAGCTTTTGGAGCTGAAGAAGGATTTTATTGGCGTTGACAATCTTGTTGTTCCTGGTCGGGTGCGTTTAACAGAATTGACCGGCAAATCCTTTAAATGATCTACAAACACCATGTACAGCGTGTGTCAAATAACATATAAATGGCTTTCTTGTGTCGTCTTTTTCGCAGGAGTTCATCAGGTTGGGCTGCCTCAGTAAACTGTCTGGAAAAGGCCTGCAGCAAAGAATATTTTTCCTGGTAAAAGCTACTTCTTTTTGGATCGGGTCATATCACTAATCAAGTTACGTAGTTGAGTGATCTCATCCTTCCATGCTACACATCAGTCAGGTGGTGTTGGCAGATGTAGCACAGCTACAAGAGTTAATTTGGAGAAACATTACCCGGCGTTGCTCAAAGCTTCAGAAAGAAAGTGATCTACTCATGTGTGATTTAATAGAAAATATTACTTTGATAAATAAGGATAAAACTATTTGGATGTGTGCATGTGTGGTCGAGCCTTGGGGTGTAGTTGGATTCAGTCTTTATTTTGCGGTTGTTATGACAACCTATTTGCACTTCCTTAGTATTTTATATTGAATTATAGTTATTTTAAACAAAAAAACATTTGATAGAGTCAGTTAACTTTCTCCCACTGTTCCTGTGTCAATAGTTCAACGACGTCATTCTGTACACCAGTCGAGGGATGATGGCGACCAATCAGTTCAAAGTGCACGGCCAGCTGCCGCTGCACGGCATGACAGTAAGTGCCGTTCCTCTCGATTCAACACATGTGCGTCAAGCGGCGCCTGAAGACGAGCCGCCTAAAGAAGCTCAACTGAGCCTCTGTCAACGCCCCCCCCTCCCCTCCCCCCCTCGCCAGCACACTTATCGGGACAACTACACGTCCTCCCCCCTTCACTTACTTTTCCTTGCGTCTCTCCGTTTGTCTATTTTGGTCCTCGCTGTCCTAGATACCGCTGCTGTCTGATGTTTTTCCCGTGTCTCTGTAGATCAGAGAGAGTGAAGATGAGTGGGGGGTGCCGCACGCCTTCACGCTGGTGGGAAAGCAGCAGTCGGTGGTGGTGGCAGCGAGGTAAGAACAGCTGGACCTTAACATGGTCCCAAAGCAAAGTGCGGCCGGTCTCCTCCCGGAGTTATGGGATTTTGGCGTGGAGACATTTGGGAATTGTCAAATAAACTCCAGTAAAATGCAGTTAAGCTCTCAGACGTAAGATTTTGTAAAAGAAACAAAGACATTTATATTATCAGCAACTGTGTATTTTCCACCTCGTAACTTTCTCTTTTTTTTTTTATCGCCTCACTTTAAAAAAAAACTTGCTGCATATTTTTATACCTTTCAAATATGCTGCATTGCTGTTTACAACGTTTAACTACAGAAACACAAGAAACATTAGTCAATCAATATTTGCATTTATTTATAACCAATATACTCCAAAAAAGATATTGAGTATTTATTAAAGATAAAAAGCTGAAAAGCGTATGTAGTTTCAATATGATTTTGTTATAAATTTAATAAATATTTATATCATTCAATCTCAATAACCAATTTATAAAAAATGGCTTATGTGCTAAATTGATGTCACTAGATAAATGCTGGAAATAGAAGATTTTTATTTATTTATTTATTTATTGTTGTTTATAATATTGCCATCTTCTTCCCTGTGACAGAGATGAAAGTAAACCAGCTACTCAGGGATCAATGAATGAGCAGATGGTGTGTTAGTGTCTTCTAAGAGAAATTTGGCCAGACACCTGGACAAATATGGATCCAATTTATGACATTTCTTGTTGCCTGGACTATTTCTAACCAGCAGGGCTTCCTGCTGTGACTGGAAATAGGACATGCTGAGCATTTAATCCATGTGTGTTTTTCCCGGTAGTTCCCTCATAGAGATGGAGAAGTGGATGGACGACATACAGGTGGCAATAGAGATGGCGAACACCAGCAATGGGCCTTCATCTGACCTTCTGACGAGCAGCCTGATAGACAACAGTAAGTTCCCACATAGACAAACTGTTAAAAATAAACAGTGGACACACACAAACTGTCAGAAAATACATTTTGAGTAGAAACCCTTCGGACTGAAATCCCACATACACACACGACTATGTTTGATTTGTCAATCATCTGACACTGTCTGTGCCTTAGCGCCCTTCTGCCCTCATCGCCCCACTCAGTGTCTCGCAGTAACGACCTCCTGACTTTCCCAGAACGCCCAGACGTCTCCTCGGCGGATGCGGAGTGCGAGGACGACGTAACGGCGTCGCGCACCTCGCTGGAGAGGCCCGCCCCTCACCGTGGTAACACCATGGTGCACGTGTGCTGGCACAGGAACACCAGTGTGTCCATGGTGGACTTTAGCTTAGCTGTGGAGGTACCGGCCAAAGCTCAGCACTCGACCTCAGACCTGCCTCTCCTCTCCTGCTTCACTGTTCCTCCTCTGTGTCCGAGTTTGCTTTGGTGATCTGGGAACAGTATCCTCTTGTGCTCCTTCATCTAAACTATTCATTCAGAACTTTGTGTTTTATTTATTGTGAGCTAACAAACTCAAATCAGGCTCACAGTTTATACATGGGTGCACATTTAATTAGTAAACAAATCATAAAAACTAGCACTCAAATGGAGAAGGGCCTAATTCACTTTTTCCATTCATTTCTTCTTTTAGTAACTGTGGTTTTCTAACCTGTGCTCATTGCATTAAACGTATCGATATTTAAAAGACAAACTTCTTGAAATTCTACCATTCCTTTTTTATTTCAATTGTTAGCAGCAGCTAACTGTTTAAAGTTGATCGTTCTCTGTAGAAAACCTTCTGTAACCTCTTGACAGCTTTTGTTGATGCATTGCTTAGTTTATTACCGCCATCAGCTGTCAATCAGTGGAATTGGGAGAAACCACGAGCAGGATGAGAATCACAGCTACTGTATTCTCTTACTGTAAACATGGGTCGTCTCATACACAGTACAAACGAAACAGAGACCCGCTTGTCAAAGCAGCCCTGTTAATGTACAAAACCTCATCCAGCTGAAAATTGAGCCATTTTTGCATCAGATGTTTGAGCCGTTTATTTCCCTCTCTCTGCTGCTTCAGTGAGGATACTGTCCCCTCTCTCCTCCTCCGTAGCCTGTGTTCGACATCCTAACCTCAACCCAAACTGTGGCTTTTCCTGTGTGCCTCTGTCCTTTTTCTCCTCCGCTGACCCCAGAAGTGTCCGACCGTCTGTAAGTGGAGAGAGAGGGAGAGAGCAGTACGTAGATGTGCCAAACGTTGTCATCTCACGCCAACGGAATGGATGCCCTGATCTAGTTCTGCTCTTCCTCCGTAGCTGTAACGATGTCCTCTTCACAGCTGGGCCCGGGGCACACTGCCGTCGGCCCTCGTGTTTCATCCCTGCCACCGCATGCCTGTGTTTCACCTACTCAGTCGCTGTGTTTCTGTCCCTCCCTCCCTGTCTGTCTCTCTCTCTCTCTCTTTTCCACATGCGTCTGTGCGTTCCCTCCGTGGTAGAGGACCCTAGTCCAGTCAGTGGGAATAAGGCCCCCCCGGTGGGGTCCCCCAGTGGCCAGGGACCAGTGCCTCTGTCTGTTATCTGCTGGTACCGTGTTCAGAGCCTCTCCTTTAGTGAATCCTGCAGGAGTCTAGAGGTAAAGGAGCCAGGCAGACAGCAAGTAGGGAGAAAGAAAAAAATAGAAGCTTTGATGTTAGTGACACATAAATGATTTTACTTAAACTTGATTCATGAGCAAAAATTAAATTAAATACGTATGATGGATTGATTTAATGATCATATTTTTTCTATTAGAACGGCCAACATATTGTATATCGTCAGTCCCTTTTTACTGGATAATAAATACATTAAAGTTGCTTAACAACGGTACACGTATGAAGTGGTAAAGCAGAGGTTGGTCATAATATACTTACATTATTGTCAGCACATGTCATAGAGGACAATTACTAACAGTATGTGAATTCCAATACACATGCTACCATGCTAGTTAGTTATTCCAAAATAAGGTTTAGAAAGTCTCAGTAAATAGTTTAAGATACTTGGGTGAGTATTTTCCTCACCACAGTAGAGTGCATGGAACTCACTCACAATAAACACCAGTGCACATAGTCATTGTAATAAAGTAATACAACAGTGTGACTACTAAATGGAACATATGCATTATACATGGAATATGCTATATAAAGCGTTTGAGGATGAGTTAGCGGTTGGTTTTAGGCTCATTATGGCTGTTAACAATAATACAAATCTAGAATATCCCCAGATATATTCTTTAATTTCCATTAATTGTCCTAGATTTTAGTAAACAATCTAAACTCTGCACACTATTGTTGCTATTATAATTCGTATGACATTATTTAGTCGTAGATGTGAAACTTGCTTTTGTCTTTGTAGAACCAGCTGTCTGGAAACTTACTGCGGAAGTTCAAGAACAGCAACGGCTGGCAGAAGCTGTGGGTGGTCTTCACCAACTTCAGCCTGTTCTTCTACAAGTCTCACCAGGTGATGGACATTCGCTCTCAGCTCTGTTTGTCCAGCCTCCCCCCCGCTGTGTTTACTCTTCTCCGGGCTTAAAGGCATCGCATCTCGGTGTGGAATGTCGACTCGTCGTGCCGCGATGGAGGCGTACAGGCTTTCACATTCCTTTCCCTTTTTTTTTTAAATCCCTCCTCTGGCTGTTTACATTTTCACAAACCACTTGGAGTGTCCATGACAAAATGAAACGGAATCTAATAGAAAACAAATTTGATACTTGATAAAAAGAGAATTATCACGAACCGATGACAAGATGTGTGTTTGATTAAAGGTTCTTCTGACTTTGCTGCTTTACCTTTGCTTTTGTTGGGAGCAGCACTCTATGAATTTGTTTTTCTCTGATTCCAAATAAGTTTAGACCAAACGTGACGTCATATTCTCTTCCTCAGGACGAGTACCCGTTGGCCAGCCTTCCTCTGCTGGGTTACTCGGTCACCATCCCCTCGGAGACGGAGAACATCCACAAGGAATATGTCTTCAAACTGCATTTCAAGTCCCACGTCTACTATTTCCGATCGGAGAGCGAATACACATTCGAGAGGTACGCCGCAATCATTCAGTATTTGCACTTTCCTCAAGTCCTAATCAAAGGGCTGATAAAAAAATAAAAGCTTTTGTCTGCCGGCAGGTGGATGGAGGTCATCCGCAGTGTCACAGTCCCCCTCGGCAGCGCTCGCATCCTAAACAGCAGAGAGTCCCGTCCTCGCTGAGTCGGCTCTTCTCGCCTCCACACGCGCGTCCCCTCTCAGGTGGCGCGTCGGCCCTTCCTGTCCACCCGGGACTCGCTTTGCTTTTCTCTTCTACACATATCTGGGACATTTGTACACGTGTCCATGCACGTTTGGTGCTTTTAAATGCTTTAATGGTGACATGTCCGCTGGTTTAGACTGCATCAGAGACGGCAATTTTTTTGGCATTTTTACTCTCAACTCTGAAACCTCTTTTTAAGGATGTCATTTTGTACTGTTTTCTAATAGTCTGAACTACTTCCTGTCTTCCTGGTTTTACTTTTTGTCACTGGTTGTTTTTACAGCAGGAACATGTTGATGTAGATGTTCAGCAGTCCTTCATCTTATTGAGAAATGCTGCTTTTAAAATGTCCTCCAACTTCAGTGCCAAACTGGTTTATGTCAATGTGTCCTGGACTTTTAAAGATGCTGTTACGTTGGGGATGAGGATTGTCTCCTAATGCAGAATGCCATTGCAATTTAAACCATGTAAAAAAAAAAAAAGGCCGCCCTTTAACGCTCAATTCACACCCGTCGCAGCACGCTGTGTTCTTGTTTAAAACATAAGTGCTGAAAATATGAATTTATTTTGTTGGATCATTGACATTGATCCCAAAGTGGCCCGGGAGTAGCTGCCATCAGAGTATTGCCATTTCAATTCAAATATTTTATTCACTGATCTTTGTTATATCAATAACTCGGACAGCTTTTTTGTTACCAGCTAAAGGTCCCCAGCAGCGGGATGAGAAAGTGTGCGACTTATTCACAGAAATTGTATCATGAAAGTCGATGTCATTGAAAGCTTTAAGGTTTGTGTAAAACAATGTAGAAACTTTCAGTTCCAATCAGCATTGCGCTCACTTAACTAGGCTGCCTCTTGTATACATATATACTGATGCCAGATCTTTTTATGGTTCCAAATGAATGGAAATATGCATTGGACGGGGTTTTGCAGTGATGCAAATGAAATGGAAAATCTCAGTTTATTGCAGCTGTTTTTTTTCTTTCTTTCAGTCCACAGAGAGCTGTTTGGAAATGAAAGCAATAAAAGACAAAATGATTCAAACTGAGATTTGTTTTATTTGTGTTTTTATCCACAAGGGGCAGGAGGTTGGGGGGGCGGTTCTCTAGGGAGACGTCAGTAGTGTGTTTACAGCTGTGACCTACAGATGGCATCATTGAATAAGATATTTCAGTCCTAACCACTGCCTGCGAATTATGTTCCCTGTATGTATGTGCAGTAAGAACAAGCAATAGAAATACTCCTGCGCAGTGACTATTCCTAAAATATGTCATATCATTTAAATGTCTTTACTTCTGAAAACGGGGAAGCCAGTGAATGTGCCGGTATGCGGAAACAACGATAGAAAATGATATCCGCTTACTAATATCTAACCAGATTAAATGGATCAGCTGCTGCAGTCAACACGTGTGTTTCTAAGTTTCATTTTAGACTGTCTGAAAATCCAATTCACATTTCTATTAGAAGACAACATTAAGATATTGACAAAGAGTGATATAAAAATGTGTAAGAAACACAGCAAACCCAATTGCGTCTCCTATCTGCTTACAATAACACAATAGCCAAATGCTCCCCAGAGTTGTGATTTCTTTTTTGTTGTTGTGGTGGTGGGAAACTATTGGTTCAGACATGAGATTTGGTGTGAGAAGCTCACCGTCCAAAGTCCAGGAACCAGCCCGGAGTGGGCCGGCCTTTACGCGGCGAGGGGCGGAGTGCAGCGCGGAGGCCACCGGATTATACACCTCCCGGCTGGCGATGCGCGGCCGATGGCACACTTCTCACGAGGACTCTTTATCATGACAACAATCAATCCGGTGGGCGAAAAATAGATCACCGGGATACTGCGGGACGCGTGGTGGGAAAAAAAGAAGAAAAAAAAGTATCGGAAAGTATGCGATTGAGACGTGGGAGCGGAATGAGCGGCCGCACCGCGCTTCAGACTCGCGGCGTTCACTAGCGGGGATCGGAGAAAACGGAGAAAACCCAGTGATGTTCTCCCTCTAAACCCCCCTCGGCCCGTGTTGACCCGTGGATTGAACGCACGTTGTTTGCGAAGTTGACGCGCAGCGATGGCTGCGGCGGCGCACCCGGAGACCAGGAGGTTTACGCGCGGTCTGGGTAAACCGGGCACCGCGGCGGAGCTCAGGCAAAGCGTGTCCGAGGTGGTGAGGACGTCCGTGCTAGTGGTGAGTAGAAGACGACACACCTTTGATGCCCGCTTCGCCTCAACACCACGTACCGCGTGGTGCGCTCATCGTCCCACATGTGCTTTCAACCAACGTGTGCAGCAAACTCTCTCCGCTGACTTTAGATCAGCTGGGTCGGGAGTTCGTGTGGGAAGTGTGAAAGGCCGTGAGAGTGAATGAATGAAGGTGTGTGACTGAGTGATATTTGAAACGGGGTGATTGGCACGTTATTGGAAGCCTTTTACTTGTTGCGTACACAGGTCCTTCACTTCCATCCTCAGCTGACCTCAGAGCAGCCGGGCTTTCTGGGTCAAGAACTGACGGTTCCGTTAAGGCGTGCGCGGGCCTGTACTGTAAAAGAGAGAGGAACAGATTGGGCCTAATCAGGGCATTTGGTACTTGTTGTCATTGATCAGTTCCCTTGAGGTGACATCATGCCGGCTTTCAAGGAAAAAAAAGCCTGGCTTCAGTTTCGTGCTTCAGGCACATCTAAAGTGTCCAGTGACGATGAGATAATGCTGAATTAGTCCGTCCACTCTGGAAGATCTGGGCGGCGAGGAGCTGCGTTATGTGCTACCTCCTCAGTGTCAGTTTTCCACAGAGCTGAGAGAGAGAGAGAAAAAAAAGAAGTCTGCCCCTTTGTTTGCAGTGTTCGGTGTTCGGTGGTCCTGCTGATTGTTCCAGCTTTCCTGGAAGAAGTTGCTAGGTAACCGAAACAGACACCGTCCAGGCTCTCCGTCAGGGAAATGGAATCCTGAGTCAGGAAGGATTCCAGACATCCAACCACACCTTTTTGTATTATTTATTCATTCTTACTCGTTGCACTGCCAGAGATGCAGGAGGGAGGAAACCAGACGTAAGACATCAGTTTGTTGGGAAACCAGCTTGTTTGAAAGAGGGTCAAGTTACATTAGAGAATCTCTTTTTTTTGTCTTTATACCAGCGAGCTTCCAGCAGTTCACTTGTTGATAATATCTGCAGATGCGGGCAGGGATGAGTTAAGAAGCGTTTGAGTAGTGGAGAGGTAGAAGTAGTATTTGTCATTCTGTCTGTCAGTGGTCACTTTGTCCTTGTGGTTGTTTTGTTCTCTACTCGTCAGGACTATTCAGTATTCCTTAGGTACCAAATACCTGTTGGCTTCTGAGGGATCTGTCTGGTTTGGGCCTTGTCTCTGGATGTGTGAAGCTGTAGAAGTGAACATACGGCTGTGTTGTTCAGTTGAGTGGGACAAGAATGCTGTCCACCCAACTCGTCATTAATTCCTCCACGAAACATGTAAAAACCTCAGCAGGAATATAGAGAGATCTGTACCAGGGATATAAAGAGCGCATTGTAGTTGTTATCACCCATTCTGATGGTTGTTTCAGCTTGAAACACACATTTTCTCTCATTTTTAATCTCATTTAGATTATAAAATACAGCCTAGAATGTATTACACATTGCGCACTTGCTGGACCCTCTTTGTTTATTGTTGGAGTGGAGAAAGAGATTTGTAATTGGCCGGCGCGCTCGGCTGATCCCCCTGTTTCTCCTCCCCGTAGTTCTGCTGGGAACACTATTAACTCCACGATGGCTGCGATCAGCTTTTGAACGTGACCTGCTGCTGATTCGCTTCCATACAACACAGGATGCTGCCAATCCAATTCCGCTGCGCGTGGAATCAAAACCAGTTGTTGATCGCGTGCAGAGAACGATGTGCGATGTTCTGTCTGCGTCACTCCACAGCCTATAAATGTCATTAATGTATCAGCTGATGGGTGTGTAACAGAACAATGGTGATTGGGAATGTTTAGTTTTTTCTCACAGTGCTGGAAACAAGCGTTATGTAATCGTAATCAATAGTCCTCACTGCCTACCAACTGATGGTGATGTACTCAGACGCTCAGTGCTCCTGCTAAGCGCCTGAGGAGCTGTTGACCAGATGGGTGTCATTACGTCGGAGTGATACCATTAGCCGCCCGTGACCAGTACACACACGAGCCGGGTCACTGTGAGACCATACGGGAGAGTGGAGGTCTCACATGGGCTGCAGAATTACAATATTGGGAACGTGGAGAACTTTAAGCGGGTTACACGTGCTGCTGCTTAACCTTGCTGTCAGACATAAAGTTCTTTGACCGCTTTAGAAAGTATTCGAAAAGGTTCAGTGGACAATTTAAATGCATCTTAAACTGCAGGTGGACATTCCCTATTACTATACACCCTCTTTGTACCTGTGCCACATCTTGCTGCATCACGTGACCGGCTTTATTTTAGAGCCTGTGTTTGCTCGAGTCAAACATTTCCAGTCATGACCTCCTGGTGCATTGCATGGCAGATGCCTGTGGCCTCTCCTTCAACTTCAACTTCAAAGAGCACAAATTTCTGTCAGATTTACCGAGATGTGTCAATCCCGGGATGAGCTGGAGTGGGTGGGTGTGTGCGAGTGCATTCTTTTAACCGGTTTTGACAGAACATTTTACTTCTTTAATCCCCGCTGAGTTAAAGTCATGTCCTCTCATGCACTGAAGCCTGATTTTTTTATACACCACCACTCCCCAGATATGTCCTCAGATCAACCCAAGTCTGCCAGAACTGCATGAATATAACTGCTCAGCTTCATGGTGTGTGTGTGAGCAGACACTGGCTGTCACATGGGGCTTGGCTGTCAGTGTTGTGTGAGGCCAAAGCAGCCTGACCTCCCTCTGTATTCCTCTCTGTCACTGTTTGGCGTGTTGTTGTAACACTAAAAGGGTGCATAAGCCGCCTCTGTTACTGAAATAGTAAATGGTACTCCAGCAGAACAAACCCACGGGTTTTATGGGTGGGCTTTATCTTTATGGGTCGATAATAAATGAGGCTGCTCTAGTAACCAATGGATCCATTAAAATACTTTCTTTCCAACATGGTGTGGGTTAAAAATCCCAGAAGTACCCAAATTGTATTTAACCTTGCAACTTTGACCTCATTGTGTATGACCCACAAAGCCTCTCGCTGACTCACAGTTCAGAGTATTAAACAATAAAGTTGTGTTGATGTTGCTTAACAATCAACAAGATTTTTTCACCCTTGTTTTACACAATTATCTGTTGAATAATGTTTCCCCTGATAAAAGTAATTTAACCCTAATAAAGTGCAGTTTTGTTAAAAGGTATAGAGTTAACTGTTGAATGGAGTTGTGTTAAACTGAAAGGTAAACTATATAACGGCTGAAAGATGCATACGGTCTATTCATGGCAATTGCTGCTTTTCCAGCTGTTATATGGTGTTGTAACTATTGCACTATTGTTCAGCCTCCTATTGTTCCTCTTATGCACGGCCTGTACAGCGATGCCAGCGTGGAGAGTCCCCATTGCCATCGCCAAGACACCACCAAAATGTTTCCATCCCGCCCGCCCGAACAGGAAGCGTCCGTGACTTCCTGTCCTTCATCTTCTCGTAGCAGAGGCCCTTCGTTTGTTAGATAGAGACAGTTTCCCGTGGCTGCGTTCTGGCTGACCAGAGCGTTTGGGCAGGGCTCGCCGTTAAGCCCCGCCCACTCCGTCTGAGTGTTCTGCCCGATAGAGCAGAGCTGTTGTGCAGGAGGTTTCCATAACAGAGCGGCGGCCTGCAGGAGAGCTTGGTCAGCTGGTGTTTTCCTGTTAGCAAGTGCTTGGCCTCCTGGGATTTGTTTTGCACTCCCCTCCCTATAATATAAGTCCTTTATATACTGGCGGGTTTGTTTAGTTGGTAATAGTACTTTCATTAAAAACGAATGCTGCAGTGTATCCTGAAACAATAGAGATGACGTGCACGCATGCGTCTTGGTTCATTTGTGCTTGCAAATTCAGACTTTGATTTGCCTTCACACACAGCTGTGGAGTACATACTGAGTCACAACCCT